TCTCTCTCTCTCTCTCTCTCTCTCTCTCTCTCTCTCTCTCTCTCTCTCTCTCGAACGATGGCCTTTTCCCGGTTACTCCAACGATATCGTTCAATTCAAACGTGAATTGTATTCTGGTAGTCAATGTTTGATTTTCATAGGCGGGAAATTGTTTTGTTTTTATTTTTCACATATGCAATAATATTTCTTTTTTTTTATGTACCGCATATTAAAACAAACTAAACGCAAGCACAATGAATAGCACAACTGCTACTATCGCACCAAAATGAAAATACACCGCAACGAAATATTGAACGAATTGTATACACCAGCATAGATAGGCGCACTTGTATATGCGTGTATTCGACGAATATTTTTGTATTAATGTATATGCTAATAGAATGAGACATACGCGATTGAGAGTGAGATGAGTAACTTGAAATAATGTATACCAATTTCAACCTGTAAATATATACAGTTTGAAGCGATATAAATTTTCAACAATTCCATTGCTGGGTGCCAACTTGACAGATACATGTGTGCGATACATTCAACAATTACAAGTTTATTACAAGTGTTTGCCGCTTTTACGCCTGGAATGACGAGATATTTAACGCATCATCATTATCCACAAAATTGAATTAATCGCAATCATACAATGCATTAAATTATATATGCGACGGTACGGCTACCGAATATATTGCATAAGACATTAACCACAAATGACAATGCATTTGCATTGAAAGGAAACATTTCTTTGTCTAGGCCATGAAAAAATATTCCAACAAATTGACATGAAGAAGCTGTCTGGAAAATCGCTTAGTGATTTGAGAGTTGAAGTCTTTGATATTCAGTTTTCATGGATGAAAATGGAAGAATCACTTTTCAATTCTACTTCGAAATACTATTTAAGCATGTACAATCAAAAACTCTTTCAAAAATCAAAAATGGGAGACAAATTCGAAAGATGTCTCTGTTGCAAATAATACGAAAGAATAAATTATTACCACAAGCAAATAAACCATATTTAATATGGACACCAGTATTTTATTGGTCAGCAACACATTCATTCTTTTGCATTAAAAAAAGTGAAGAGCAACCAACTAAAATAATGGAAATTTTCACTAAGTCAAACATGTTTATTTGCTACATATTAAACAAGGACAGGTATTGAATTCTGAATAATATTATTTTAATCATATTGGAACAAATTGCTTTGTAGTTCAGTGTTTTGAAAGAAAATAACTGATATGATTGATTTCAAAAATATATGGATGGTTTAATTAGTCTCAAGAAGATGTCAGAAAAGACTTCCACGGCCTGAAGTGAATCCTTTCTGTGAAAATTAAACAAAAACACTTTACCCATGGTTGATGGCAACAGGGAGCGTGATATTGATGGCCGGTATGAGAAGAAAAGACGACCCTTTATTCAGTTCTTCTAAATTATAAAAAAAAAAAGCGAAACATTTTTGATAATTTTTCGTATTTCAAGCGAAATCCTAGCCATATCGATGTTCAAATATTCAAATAATTTGCCCGTAAATTCTTAGCGTTTTCAAAATTCATGATTCAAGGTTGCAATAGCAATAGTGTTGTGGCTAACGCATACAAAAATAAATGGAAATAAAGAAAAATCAACTCAAAAGAATGTGTCGCATGCTCGTTTATGAAATGCCAACGGACTACAATTCGATAAACGTATCGAATAAATTTGACCTTGATAATGAGCTAAAACACACACACGCATATATACATACATAAAAACAATGATGCGAACCAAGTGACACATTTGCTAAAAGATTTTAAATGATTGAATTTCTTTTCAATTGGGTCCTAGGCTGATGAAATACCAAAACAGAATTTATACTCTGTTCATTATTCATAGTAATTAGAACTTTGGTCAATCTGAATGTTTAAATAAATGTTTCATTCTTGTTCAACTAAAAAGATGGTAAAATTACTGATGAGGAATTTTCGAAGGTGTAGAAAATATGCATGTATTGATATCAATTTGGGATATAAATCGATGTGTTCGAATTGAGAAGCCTTGGACAAGGTTTTAAAAAAAAAATTATTTCACTTTCGCTTCGAATCGTTAACGAATTATGGTGTGGGGGTAATTTGACGTTTCAAAAGTCGAAAAAAAAGATGGCTAACACCAGGGCTCATGTAAATAAACACTGTTGACTTTGACAGTTGCACATGGTGATAGAGTCTTTCTCAACGAAAACGTGTACCATCCAAGTACCTTGTTTTTATTTTATCAAAGTATACCTGAAGATTTGATTCATTGTTTGCAATCAAAAATCATACAGCATGGAGTATATGGAGTCAGATATCCATATAAAAACGGAGAATGCCACATCCAATGCAAAAATGTAAGTACTGTAATATTTATTCTTGAAATTGAATTAACAAATGTAGAAAAACTAGGTTATGTTGAATATTCTGCCTGAGCGAAATTCAGTAAGAAATTTCAATAAATTTTTAGATTGTGTTGTGAATGCGGTACACTGATCGATCCAAATCCGGCAAATATGTGTGTTGCCTGTTTAAGGAATCACGTTGATATAACGGAAGGTTTGTTCCTTGCTCTTCTCAATTGACAATTGACAATTGTGATTTGATATAATTTGTCTATTTTTTATGTAGATATTCCAAAACAGGCCGTTCTTTACTTCTGTCGAAATTGTGAACGATATTTGCAACCGCCATCGGAATGGGTGCAATGTACGTTGGAATCGCGTGAATTACTCGCATTGTGCCTGAAAAAATTGAAGGGTTTGAAAGAGGTGAAGCTCGTTGATGCTGGATTCATTTGGACAGAGCCACATTCAAAACGAGTTAAAGTCAAATTAACGGTACACAAGGAAGTATTTGGTGGTGCAACATTGCAACAGGTGTTTGTTGTTGAATTCATCGTTAACAATCAGATGTGCGAAGACTGCCACCGTACCGAGGCCAAAGACTTTTGGAAATGCTTGGTTCAAGTGCGACAACGTTCAGAAAATAAGAAGACCTTCTATTATTTGGAACAATTGATTTTGAAGCACAGAGCACACGAAAACACACTTGGTATTAAACCAGAACATGGCGGTCTTGATTTCTATTATGCTAACGAAAATCATGCACGTAAAATGATTGACTTTCTGAACACGACGTTGCCAGTTAAGTGCACCGAATCAAAGCGCCTCATTTCACACGATATTCACAGCAACACATACAACTGTAAATTCACATTTGCTGTAGATATTGTACCGATTTCGAAGGATAGTTTGGTTTGTCTACCGAAAAAATTGGCCCAACAGCTCGGAAGTATTTCTCCAGTCTGTTTAGTTTCACGCGTCGCAAACTCAATCCATCTAATTGATCCGCTTACCGCACAAAGTAAGCGTATTTGGTTTGATTTTTTTTTCGTCTTCTACAGCATACTAAAATCTTCTCTCTTTTTTTCATTACATTTGTACAAAATAAGTGGCTGAACTGAATGCAACCGTTTACTATCGTCAACCTTTCGAAGCCATTTGCAATCCAAAACAACTAACAGAATACATAGTGATGGACACTGAAGTGATCCGACATAAAAATCGGAATTTTTTCCCTGGCCAGGGAAAGGTGTCAGATCGTCATGTTATATGTGATATTTGGTTAGTCAGAGCTTCGGAGCTGGGTGTTAACGACAACACAATACACACGCGGACACATTTGGGCCATTTATTAAAACCGGGCGATTCGGTTCTTTGTTATAACCTTGAGGATGCCAATATTAACGATGATAATTTTGATAAATTGAACAAGGATCGCGTTCCTGATTTGATTTTGGTAAAGAAATTCTACAGTGATTCCAACGAACTTAAGAATAGAAGAATTTGGAAGCTGAAACATTTATCTGAAGAAGTGACGGCTTTCGACAGAGGAAACAAGTAAGTTCTAACAGAGATTTTAACATTAAACCCGAAAAAATGTGATAAATTCATAATTTGGTTTTTCTTGTTCTGTTCTTGATATAGGGACTACAACGAGTTCTTGAATGATTTAGAAGAAGATCCACAGCTGCGTCAAAATGTTAACATTTTCAAGGACTCTTCCAAAACAATTCCAGTCGACGTTAACGATGGCATCGATCCTTCTGTACCGCGAATTACCTTGGAAGAAATGTTGGATGATTTGGTCTTAGAAGACGATGAAATGGGCGAAGAAATATGAGCTAATTGAACAACAAATTGCTTCAAACATCAATAAAAAATAACTTGAAAAAATTTATTCTCTAAATTGATAATAAATCGTTTGTTTTTTTTGTTGAGAAAATCAATCAAAATTTCGAATGAATTAATTATGAATGACTTTGTTGAATGTGAGTTTGGTATTGAGATTACGTCATCACACATGTTTACAATGAGACTCATAATATTAATACGCTTCTCTCACAACATGCTACAAGCGTATGATAAAGGAAGAGCTAAGCGATAAACATCTTTACTCGATCTCATAACATGAACCTACAACGTTACGAGCTATTTTCTGAGAATTGAGCAGAAAAAAAAAATTATCAACTCCATAACAAAATTGGAAGGGAATTTCACAGCCGCAGATACAAACGGAATGGTGATCACAAAATATACACACAAGCTCAATACATATTTAAAATTAAACATAAATGATTTAATTGGCAACAGTGACTTTAGTGACTTTAACTGCTCCTCTCTGTCGCTCACACATATTTATTTCTTGAATTTAAATACTAGCAATAAGTGATCATTTGTCAGCATTTAGTCGTGGTTTGTCATTGATTTGTGTAACACGTCATTTTTGTAAGATGTTTTTTAAAATAATCATCTGTCTGTTAATCACGTTTAATTTTCAATCTGTAAAATGTAAACCGTGGTCAGATCAAATTAGTTATAACAACTATAATAATTCGAACCCATTTGTGGGTAACCCGCACTATAACAACATGGACCAACAATATTATCGGCAAGGTGAAAATTTACACGATATTATTGTTCACCTTGGAAGGGGAATAATTGTTTATTTTATTTGAATTAAAGAGCCAACAACAACATCAACAGTGAAACCGTTATATCCAACACTATACACGACATCTATACCCCAATATCGTCCAAATGGTGACAACGGCCAGGGTCAAGGTTCATTTTTTGATTTACATAAATGATAAGATTAGTAAATTGCGTCTATATAATATTTACATGCGCTTCGATTTGTTATCGTTTCTATAAAAATAGTGCCAGTGAATCCGTTTGATGGGCAGCCATTCCATCCGTTGCAACCAAACATTGGAAATCGTACTCATCACAATCGTAATCATAATGACTACTCCAATAATAATTTCGATTATCCGTTCGACAATACTCGTACTCGAATGACAACTTACCCGCCATTCGATGGATCGACGAAGCGAAGCACATTCCCAACGCGTCAATTTAATACTTTGCCCCCAAACAGTAAATTATTCAAATTATTTTGAAATCAATGTAATACATACATTTTGACCTTTTTAAGGGCCTTTCATTAACTCAAATCCAACACAACCGACGTATCCATACGGGCAGAACGACAGAAATTACAACCAATACCCAAACAATCAGTACAATTCTTCAACATACTTTGGAAATAATCATCAAAATCGAAACAGATACAATAGCAATAACAACAACACAGCTTATCAAAATCGTCCGTTTCCAAGTAAATATCATACCATTTCATCTTATTAGAATCATCATTCACATTGATGAAGACTATGTTGAAGAGATGAATACGACCTTAAGATTTCAGAAAGTTAAACGTTGCACACCTTTTTTTAAACATTAGATCTACAATCATATGGAGCAAATCAACCACAATCAAATAATCACCCAAATAATGGCAACCACCAAAATATCTACAATCCCACAGCTCCATCTGCACCTCAAGTTCAACCATTACCAAGTAAATATCGTAAATATACCCTTCCATTTTCTCAATAAAATCAGCATACACTCGTTTGTGGATTATCTACTGTCGATAGTTTTGGAAAAAATTTAATTTTCATCAAAATTATGTCATTTTTCATTAGATTCCCAATCGTACGATGGGAGAAATCCAACTCAATCAAGTAATCAACCAAACAATGGGAATATCAATCAAAATGGTTACAATCCTTCGACACCGGAAAATCGACCTTTTCCGAGTAAGTAATACGAAATCGCACATGAACCAGTATATATTTTCGATATAAATTATGTATCAGTTTTCCCTACAGTCAAGCTGACGACACTTCAGTACAAACATCATTTGAGCGCTCGCAGCGCCACGAACTCTCGTATCATTTTGTATTGACTTTTCGATAGTTCATGAGTTCGCCGTGGACTTCGTCAAAACGTGTCGTCCCTTTGCCTACAGTGTTTTTAAAATTAATTTTGAAAGTTTTTCCGATCGTTAAAAACGAGGACATTTCGACTAATTTCGACAATCTCCGAGGACGCGGGGACAACTATCATAAACGAGAACTGTCCTCGTAAAACGAAGACGACTGTGAAATTAATTTTTATGTTTTAAAATGTTTTCTAGATCCTCAAGTGCATGATGGAAGAAACCCAGCCCAGTCAAATTATCATCCTTATGATGGAAAATCTAATCAAAATAATTTCAATCCATCAGCTCCACAGGCCTCCCAAAATCGACCATTTTCAGGTGAATAACATATGTGTCGTTGAGAATAAAAATGGGATTAGCCGAAACCGCGTGTTTTTATGCGAATCATTTTTGTGTTTCTGGTACAAGATATGGGGCAAGTATCTCAAGCAAAGATAAAGATCTTGAAATATTCTAAAACATTGCAGCAGACATATGTCTTCTATCTCTTACCAGGAACACAAAAATGATTCACATATAAATGAGCGGTTTCGGCTAATCCCATTTTTATTCTCAACGACACATATTATTCTTTTACAATTAGATTGATAAATGGAATTTCATCCCATCTTCAGAAGACACATTTTCATTTAATATTCTCAATAAAATTGATCTTATCGCGGTATTCTTTTCCTTAGGCCCACAAACGTACGATGGAAGAAATCCATCTCAGTCAAGTTATCAGCCAAATAACGGGAATTCTATGTATCCAAACTCATACATGAATCAAATTAGCATTGGGTCAGTAATAAGTCAAGGCAATCAGATGTCTTCGGAACCAGATTTTGACCCAAACGGTATTGCGTTGGCACCATTCCCTGGTGATATGTCAAACCCCAGTAATGCGGGTGCACGTAAACAATTCAACTACGATAATTTGCATCACAGATATCCATCGAAACCAAACGTTGATATTACATTCAATGGCAATGATGGTTCTAGAGTACCACTTGCAAACTATGGCAGCTCCCAAGTCCCACTTGCACCACTTTAAAGTCGTAACGTTTAAGTATAATTATTTATAGAAAAAAGTATAATAAAACTAACTTGATTTTCTATTATGACAATTGATTTCATGTCTTTAATGAATATAATTACGTTGTCACCTCAAATAATTAAGCACAGTCATTTTAAATAATACTTGAACGTATTAAAAAGGGGGAGACGGATAAATTTGAATAAAATTACTATTGAAATAAAATGGTTATGTACCGGAAATCTTTCTAAAACGAATTCCCAGTAGCAAGTCTCACTTTGTACAACTCTTTGTTATGATTGCGTGTTTTTTTTGAAGGATTTACGCATCTAAACACTTTCTTTGTATGCTAGTTATCTTCTTTGTCCTGCAAAATTGAACCATCGATTAGTTTCAATCAATTGAGATTTTGATATATTCGAAAGAATAGAATACGCACCGTTGGGTCACAATCAGCGCAATGCCACGAATATCCACGTCTTTTGGGGGTCTTGAGTAATGGTGGTTCTAAACACGTCCGGAAATGATAGCTCTTTTTGCATTCATCGCATCTGGAATTAACAGTAAATATCGAGATTTGATCATTTTTACTTGTTACTACTAGAGTACTACTTACTTGACTAAGTCCTGTGCTGTTCCTTGCACTTGGCACACATAACAGACTTGAATTTCATTCGTATCAATTGAATTCGAACTAATGGGTGTTGATGTACGTCTGGGGTTGACCTTTGGTGGACTTTGCAAAACAGATGAACGCCGCGTTGATGTTCGAACAATAGATTCTGCGGAAGATTTGTTTTTCTGGGGTGTACTCAAAGGTGATGATGATACAGTTGATGGTGGTGATTTCTGAGCCTAAATTGGTTTTAATTGAAATTTAAATTTTATCTTATATCGAACATTTATAGTTTTCCTAACATATTTCGATTTTTTTCAGTAAAAGTGTTTTTCAACAAAATTCAATTTTGAAATTCTGGATTTTTAAATTCGGATTTTGTTTAGTTTCTCACGAAGAATTTTGTGGTGGTTTCAGTTTGAAGCTTCGATTGAGCATTTTGAAAAATTAACCCAAAAATGCTAGTTAATAAGATACCGATCTTATTAACATATTAATAACATATTTTCGTTATTAACCTGGAAAAATTTTCAAAACGACTCATCATAAATGAAAACTGAAACCACCATAAAATTCTTCATGAAAAACTGAACAAAATTCAATTCCAAAACCTCAAAATTTCAAAATCGAATTTTGTTAGAAACACTTTTTCTGAAAAAAAAATCGAAATATGTTAGGAAAACTATACGAACATTTGCAAAGTAACATATGAAATGTGTAAATAAAATTCGTAAACGAAACTAACAAAGCATAGAAAATAATCGAATAAGAAGTATGAAAAGAAAACGGCCAGCTCAATCAATTACAGTTTGTGTTAAATATTTTCTCGGTTCTTTTCTTACAAGCATAAAGGTGTAAATTCTTTAATGCTTAAAATAAATCAATAGAGAAATTGACAATTCACATTTCATTGTTGACTGCAGTTATTTAAGCGACAAAGTGAAAAAGCAAACTATTCAAATACTCAATGAAGGAATTGATGAACATAAAACATGCATGTATTTGTGTATAATCAAAAAATACCAAATATTTAGTAGACAATAAATAACAAGATATTGATAAGGATCAAGGAAATATTCCCATTTAAGGAACAAAAGATATATTGGATATATTTCTGAGTTTAGAAATGCACCTTTCAATATTGAACAATTTTTTGTTCAATTTTGTGGGAGTGTAATTATTTCAATCACATTGAGTCAGTAATAAACACATACATTTGTAATTTCATAATTATCTTCGTTGGCTGATTAAACGGCCAATTTTGATCATTTGAAAAATGTTTCAAACTTGAATACCTGCCATGGGTCTTGTTATTTATTGGAAATGCAATGTAGCACAGTGACAATACGATGGGTGTTAAAAATGGTTATTCGCAATTGTCGAACTTACGAATGGCGTTGAAGTAACATCGTCTATCGAATTTACCGAAGCTGGCCGTGTTCTTCGAAATTCTCTTGGTCTTACCATATTGGCGGGCACATAGAAGAAATGCGATTCAGCGGCAGTCTCGCCAGGCAACGCTGGTAACGTTTTAAACTGAATAAAAGTATCAAAATTAGTCACTATCCAAAATAAATTTAGTTCAAAAGCAGAAATTGTGTACCTTTATTTTGATTTTGGGCACTCCGTCGGCTAGAGGGAATGATTCTGGATTTTCGTGATCGTGGCTTCTTCTCTTCCTTTTCTTTTTGTGCTCTTTGGATGACGATCGTTCAGCATCGGGACCATGTTTGCTACGATGCTTCTCCTTTCGACGCTTCCTACTTTGTTTGCGTTCAACTGCAGCATCTAAGGTTTTTGTTGTTGGTATTGTGTTTTCGATTTTACCATTCAATAATGCAGCTTGTTCTTTGGAGGCTTCACTGTTCATTGAATTCTCCGCTAATAGAGGTTTTGTGTCTTTCGATGTATTCACTTCTGAGTTATTGCTTGAACTAACTGACATATCCATTTTCATCAAATCAGTCGAATTTTCACAGGATTTGTTTTCGACCACACATTTCCTAGTCTTAGGTTCATTCACATCCACTTTAGACTCCACAATTTCTTTAATTAATTTATCAATTTCTTTATCAGTCTGTGGTAAATTCGGAACAGTATTTGACTTAAGCTTCTCTTTACGTTTCGCTTTTTCTTTCACTTTAGTCTTTTCTTTTTCTTTAACTTTATCCTTATCCTTATCCTTTTCTATATCTTTTGCCTTTTCCTTTTGCTTGTCCTCATCGTTATTCTTGTCCTTGTCTTTCTCCTTTTTGGATTTTTTACTTGCTTTTACCTTAGGTTGAGGACTTGATTTTTCTAATTTTGTCGGCGATTTTGTATCGTTCAATTTGGATTGGATGCCATTAACTTTGGGTGATTTTATTGGTTTTATTTCAATATGATTACTATCTAATTCGGTATTCGATTCATGACATTCATCCAAAATACCCTTTGAAACAGCTTCAATGACTTTATCTAGATTCGAAGATGATCCACTTAGTGACTTTTTACATTTGGATGGACTCTTTATACTCTTTCCACTTTCAGACTTATTTGATTCAATTATCGAATTATTTGTGTGCGCTGGACTGATGATTCCATCTTCCAAAATCTATTTATGAAGGAAATTCAATTGCAAATGTTAAAAAATCATTCAATGATAAGAAGTGCCAAAAACATTAACAAATATTTATCTGATGTGCTCATGCATTGTGTGATTGTAGCAATCACAGAATATGGGCTACCCTGAATCGGGCTCCCTGATCAAAAAGTGTAAAAATTTGAGCGACAAATTCCATCAGTACGAGCTACTACAAATTTATTGGAAAATTTCTTACCGTTTTATCCTTTTTGACTGGCGTTTTTTCGACTTTATCACATTTTTTGCTGACTCTCTTCGTTGGTGATGGTGGCGGTGATTTTGTTTGAATGGGACTTTTTGCAGATTGCACGTTTGACTTGTCATCATCACCATCGGCACCACTTTCATCCATACTGACGTCGCGTGATGAGTCAAATGGTACAATGGTGCCATCTTTGCTATATTTCGTTCGGGATTTTCTTGGTCCAGATGTCAATTGCACCACCCCTTCTGGATTATCCTCATCACACTCGGAACACTGCCATCCATACATTTTGGACTTTTTCGGGTGCCGTGTTAGTGGCGGGTTCAAACAACCCAAATGAAACATGTTCAAACATGTGTCACATTTGGCAAGTAAATGTTGATCATTGACTCGTTTGCAAATGCCGCATTCATACAAAAGTTCGGGCTTATTTTGGCATTGTGTACTTAAAATTCGATTGGTGTCATCGTTTGGTCCAGGAATCGTCAGAGGAAAGCCGACACCCATTTTAAGGGCAGCAGCCGTGGGCACTGACATCGGTCTCGTTAACGGTGGTAGTGGTGCAGGATTCGGTGCCGTTTCAACTGCAATACGAATTATTCAATAATTATAATTTGTATCAACCTTGATTTAATAATAAGCATGCCATTCTCGGGTCGCTGTCTCCTACCATGCTGTGCAATGATATTATCAATTGATGTTAACGTTTTGTTTGGACACAGAGCTGCAATTGAGGAATGCAGTTTTTCAATTTTATCCGTCAGCTCGCTTTTCCTGGCCGCATGTTCTGCACGAATCGCAATACACTACCAATATACATACGTTTCAATAGTTATATCAAGTTCTTCGTGCATTTTCAAAATATCATCAGAAATTACCTCATCGTATTTCTCGCGAAGCGATTGCTGTTCGTTGACTAAAGTCTTATTCAATTCTATTTGTTCCTGTAAATTTTTCTTAACATCTTTCGATCTTGAGATCCTATCTAAATAATATCCAATAAATTCAACAGATAGAGAGGGTTGAATATGCCACTTCTTTCGGACATCGTTCAAGGAAGCGATCTGAATATTGATTTAAAGCCCAAGCTTATTAGTATTGACCCTGACATTTTTTTAAAATTCATTTCATACGGCCCCACCTGTGCTTCTTGGAATTCTAAAGCAGCCACATCTATTCCCATCAATTCGGCCTTCGTTAATAATCTTCGGCATGCAGAAGCGCTGGTAGTGAGCAATCGTGGCATTTTTTGTGTTGGAACTGGAATTAAAGCATTCATTGATATGAATTTTATTGCGTTTAATTGACACAAATATCAAATTGACTATGAATCGGACGTACCCCATGGTTCATTCTTAATAGATTTATTACTAATGTACTTATTTCGGTGCTTCTTGAGTTTACGTTCGATGCGTTTTTGTTCAGGACTAGCGTTTTGTTGCTTTTGTTGTGCAATGTTTGCGTTACGGTAACTCATTTTCAAACGAAGAACGTCATAGTTGCGCTTACGATGTTTGATCAACGTTTTATCTGAATGAATTTTGCAGTGGGCATAAAATGGATCGGCGTGATCGGCTTCTTCAGAATGTGCTTCAAATGGTTGTAACAGACCAGCTGCTTGTGCGCATGTTACGTGAAAGTAAGTTTTGCACATACCAGCATCGCAACCAATGCAAACGCCACACCGCGCGAATCGTGCGTCATCGCAGAGCGAACAAGTCTTAGCTCCCCATTTGCTATATGGCATTTCAAATAGAGTAACAGATGACAAATGATCAACTTCACCAAATGCTACTCCAGGCACATACAAAGCGCATACAAGGTGCACCCATTTTCCAACGTCAGTCTCCTTAAAAATGCCACCTTTGTTCGGACACAACTCACAACTTGGGTTGCTTATATTTGCTTTGCATGCTTCACAAAACCATGGTTCGGTGGAGCATGATGATACTGTACTGGATACACTGGTCGAATCACTAATTCCATAGCAACCTTCATGAACTGATATGCCACAATTATCACATTCAACAATTTCGTTGGTATCATCACTTCGATCGCCCAAACAAGCGCAGCAAATCGGTTTGGCCAGAATTTTTGCTTGAGATCGTTCAAATGTATCCTTCGCAACATTTTGTTCCAGAAGCTGTGTCGTCGACATCATTTCATTTTTGCCATCTATTTTCCGATTCAAATCGGCAAATGTGTCGTCCACGGATTCGTCTGAGTCTGATTCTTCATTATCACTATCATCATCCGAATCATCGTTTCCGCTGTGATCATCATTTGAGTTTAGCGAACAGTCACTTTCATCATCATGATCCTCTATCCGAAAATCACTGTCATCCGAACTCTCACTCAAATCAAAATCCAATAGTGTTTGTGTTGTCACTGTGCCGGCCGCCGACCGTTTGTTTGTTTGTTGTCGCTTGGTTGTCACTGGAATAGAAACATTTTTCTTTTATTGATAACAATCCACAATTTACCGATTTTAATGACTAAACTCATGGGCAAATTCAATTACAAATCCCATTCAAATCGCAATTTCACTATGTTTCACCACTTGGTTTGATGTTGTATACTATGTTTTTGTTTTTATATAACCACACTATTATTGTCTGTTTTATCATGCATTGAATTATTACTTGAAAATGTTTAGCTAAAATATACTCACTTGTTTTCAATGGATTTGGTTTATTTGTTCGAAAATAGCATGTCCGTGTCGTGCTTATTTCTCTTCTAAAAAATGTAGCAAACGAATGTTGCAGTTGTTTGAAATCAATACGATACACAAAAGTGTATTTTAGGCTTCAGTTCCATTACAAATGCACACAGAGTTCAAATGTCGTTGTCGTGTCAAATGACTCACGACAAATTGTCAAAAAGCAATCAACCAACCATTCACGTAGCTAGCATACGCAGTCTCTGCGTGACTGTGAATGGCTACGAGTTGGTATCGTGAACCATTCACAATAGTAGGACATCGTGCATTTCTAGCTTACCTTTTATCATTTCGAATCAACAATAATTTCAGTTTGAAACGGGTCGTGAAAAATAAAATACCAATAATCTTTCTCTGGTTACAAATATTTTATTTGAAATTTTTATTTTTTTTTTTTTCTTCTTTCTATAATTTATTAAACATTTATTGTTATACAATTGTTCATTGAATTTTTTAAAAAAACGAAGACTTAGTGTAATATCACATTTCTGATGTGGATATTCCATTGTTCGTTTCTGATGTGGATATCCCACATAGGATTATTTTCAGTTTTTGATCTCTTTTTTTAAGTTTTAGTGTATTTTCCTGTTTTTTTATATATCTCCCTTTTTTCTTGTTTGTTTATTGTTTTGCACTAAATAACTTTTTCATCAGTTTTTAACTAAACAGTTGCTAAATTATTAACATTACTCAACTGGTGCGTCACTTGTTTCCTTTTCTTCTTGTTGTTTTGTTTGTTTGAAAACAAAATCAACTGTTTTTTAGTTAACAATTCTGAATACACTTTGCTCAAAAGCATTAATTTGTTTCAGTTATTCCACTTCCACTATGCTACTCTGCAATCTATGCTCAATTTTCTGTAGCAAATAAATAGAAAAAAAAGGTTTGATGTCTATCAGATAAAAATGAGGAAAGAATTAACTTTGGATTTGTAGGCACCTTAAAATGAATAACAATCGTGAGGTATAGGAATAAATAACTGTTACTTTACTATTGAAGTTCATTTCAGGCAAAAAGAGTGTGTGTGTGTGTGTGTTCGAGGAAATTTGTACTAAATCCGTCTTTTATGTGCTTCATCTCTATTGATTATTTGCATAAAATTGCTTGCACGGCTGATAGCTGGTATTTTGTTTTATCAGTCTTTGTCTACAAAATTATAATCAACTTGTTGGTCGTATTAGATTATCTATTTTAAACGCAATTTTTTCAACTCGATTGAAAAACAAAATGATCCTACAAAATAATAAGTTACAATATTGAAAAATAAAATAAATGTTCGACATTTTACAAATCTGTCACAAAAATATATAATTTTAGCTAAACAGAAGCTACAACATGAATTTATGATTGCCATAATATGCTTTGTAAATTTCTCAGTTTTTGTTTTAAGTTCGTGGAAGATCGTCGGTGGATCTTTACTTGTTGCTTCATGTTTTTATGTTGTTTCTGACATTTTCAGATGATTTTTCGTAGCGAAAAGTAAGTAATGCACAAAGCAATCAATCAATTAAGTAAGACACTTTTGTAATTTGTGAATGAGTGCTAATAACCTAGACGATTTTGAAATGGGCGTTAGCAATTTTGTGGCGAATGATTTCGGTTTTTCTCTAGTTTGTCTCTCGTATTTTTGCGATTTAGCTCCATGTAAGGCCCACAAGACGTATAACAGCCGTGTAGATATTGGTAAGTATTTTGCTTTTGATTTTTCAATTCTTATGCATGTGCTCAGTACATCAGATCTTCGCTGTGGTTTATTAAAGTTTTTTTGTCTTCTTTCTTGTTGGCCTCTGCTTGTAGCACTTTCGGGTCGAAACATGGCTGTTTAAATTGAGAAAAAGTAAAACATGAAACCCAATTAATCACACTATTTTTTTTTTTTTTGGTTGTACACACGATAAATGGTGAACACTTACCGTATCACAAATATTCATGTTGCAACAGTTTTCTATTGTGATTTCGCACTGTTCGGTAGTGGGTCGGCAAGTTAACGGCGTTGGTGTTACATTTTTACGCACCACATACGTCTTCTTGATTCTTGGACGCAACGGTTTATATACGTGACGAATTGTTTTTACAATGACAAAGACTAGTGCTAGAGATATGACCACACCACACGATACAAATATCGCAGTTTTGTTGAGAACCGATTCCTTGCAGGTATTTTGGTGTTCGCCATTGAAATTGAAGAATAGTTTTGATGGAAGCTTTCCACTGCAGCTATACATACAGAAGATTGGGAAATAAAATATACATTAGATATCAGAAATGCAAGATCTCATAGTGTTGTCTTACTTATTGCATACAGCTTCGAAATCCAATCCTAGTCGATCATCGATGTCTTCTTTGTTACAAAATCGAATACACATTTCCTTGATATTCATATTTTCACAGCGATTTCCATAATACGAAGTTGGACATTGGCAATTTGGCTCGCTCCTTTCGATTAAACAATGGCCACCGTGTAGACAATGATTCGTACACAAATTAGTCTCACAGCGATCGCCAGTGAATCCCTCGCGGCAGTTACATAGAGGATTTCCATTCGACGCAATTTCGCATGTTCCCTCCACACAGTAATTGTTGCAAACGGGAATCTCACAAACGCTACCTTTATAGCCATGTGGACAATGGCATGATTTTGTTTTGTCATCGAATTGACCATTATTCAGGCAATGCACACTCAGTATTTGTGGCGAACTATTTGAAGCTGATGTAAAAGTGGTTGATTTTATTAGTTCGAACACTGACTTACATTCCTGGGCACTTTGCTGAGACGTGATGAAGTGATTGCGATTAATGATTCCTTTCGGAATGTTCTGTATTGTGAAATTCTGTATTCTCAATGGTAAATCGTCTATTGAAGCGGTTTTAGGAATTTTCCACACAGCATTTTCTTGAATATCGGTCCAATAAATATTTGATTCATCCACAGCTATGTCAAATGGCACATGGTTCATATTACGAATGATAGTTTTGCGATCACTGCCATCCAGATTGGCACTTTCAACTGCAAAATGGTCACCACGTAGATCATCTACCCAGAAGATACGACGAGAAAAGTGATCCACAACTATTCCACGTGGCATATCAAGGCCACTAATTATAGTTTTAGATTCTTTACCATCTAATGAAATTCGTCCGATGGACGATTCTTTCATGTTCAAATTGGTCCAGTATAGTTGTCTGCGGCAAATATCAATCGCAATGCCATGTGGCATTGACAGTTTGTCTATGAAAATCTTCGGTTCATTGTTATCGTTAAGATTCATTTGATAAATGATTCCGTTCACCGCATCCGTCCAATACAACGTCCGTTCCAATGGATCGAATGCAATGCCTTGTATCTTTTCTTTTTTCGACTTCTCAATGATCTGTTTTACAGGATGATTTCCATCGGTGCCCAGTTTTAGCGAAAATATCGTTCCATTAAGATGTGACTGATCATTAAAATAGAGTGTTTCTTCGATTTCATCGAATGTGATTGCCGACAATTCGTCGAATTGATGTGCGGCTGACGTTACCGGCTCCCAGTCGGATGTGTAGAAATTTATAAATCCTTTTGTGCTAACGGCAAATTCTGCAAAGGAAAAAAACAAAAACACTCATTAAAATCAGGTAAAACACGTAGATATCTGAAGTCAAAGGAAATGTAAACACGCTACGGAAGCATGACAAAGAACGGGATTAGAAATCTTTATCGTCTAAAAATGTATTCGAATGAGCCAGGGTTTTTTTTAGATTGAAACACAATCACACTAGCGCCGCAGTTTGCCCTACAATATCATATACGGCAAGCTACAGAACTATTCATTCAGTATATATCATGTAGCTTAACTGTCAATCTGTAATCCCCCTGGAATGAGCTGTTGCTTTGTTTTGTGTCCTTGTTTAAAGTGCGAATCTATTAGAATTTATGGCTTCAAATGTAAATCACGATCCATGTTTCAAATCTAATAAAATTGGTTTAACTAATAAAATTTACGAGTCATTTTATGATATGAAAAGAGTCTCCGCAATAAAGTCATTAATCAAAATCTTGTTTGCTTGAAATGTTGGAGAACACGTTGCAATTAAAATTGAAAAGTAGACAGACACCGATATGTTGATAAATACGTGCACGATTTCAAGTGTTTGATATTTTTGTGACTACATGAAGTGTTACAAATAATTGGACGATGTTCGTACAACAATTTATCTAGCGTCGATGTTCGTCGGTTTATGCACAATACATTGGCAGGTATTCAGTCAATGGGAAGTGAATCAGTTTCCATATACGTATATGCATCATATTTGGGTCAATCACATTTAACATTTCATACAATTACTTTTGACTTTTTGTCCAACATTGCACACTATCGACTAGCTGAATTGTTGTTATTCAAACTGACTTTTAACATATTAGGATTTATGGCCGCTTAAAAATCGCTTGATTGGTATTTTATAAAATGTAATAATGAAGACAGGCCACAGTCATCTCTTAAATTTGTTGAAATTACAAAATAAATGAAACTCCAAACAAAAAATTGCGCTTACACTTATTTTCATTGAATTGAGTTTGGTGAAAAAGGTAAAAAAAATGTACTTATATTACAAGTGAAATGACAAATAAGCGCAAAAAGACAATACATTGCAATGTTATACAAAATAAAATCCTTACTAATGGTTTTAAGTGTTTCATTACAGTTGAAAAAAAATATATCAAAGAATCATGGATATAGTCACGTACACCATTTATACAATCGGATAGAGTCAATAGTCGAAAAAATAATGATTACGATTTGCCTTTTCATGTTGTATTTCGTGCTCGAAGAGCTCTTTACCGTAAATGGTCATTTTATGTACAAGGTTCATTTTAAGTAAAGCATATCGATATTTGCACAAATGAATTACGTGGCATAAAGATAACAGATTCAGGTAATGTATTCAATTTTTAGGGCTGCGCATCGTAAGCATTCATTTCTCAATTAAAAAAAAAACTACGCTACAAATATACAGCGTATATTCCCTGCGCACGCTGTGTTTATACCATTTTCACGCTTACGCTTATTCTATACATAGTTTAATACAGAGTCAAAGGTATATTTAAGGCATATTTTTAGCGTGAACCGCATACAAAGCATACGGATAGAATACGCTAAGTCAAAGTATTCTATACGTATAAAATAAGCGTAAGCGCGAAAATGGTATAAACGCAGCGTGCACAAGGAATACACGCTGTATATTTGTAGCGTAGTTTTATTTATTTATTTCAGTCAACATCCAATTTTGACTGGACGAATGGTCAATAGAAATTAAATCAATCTATGCCTAGATGCTCAAATGTCTCAATACGTCATGGTGTTAATGTGTGATTCTGCGAACTTTCCCACTGTGTTTACCACAAACGTAGTTCCGGAAGAATTTGCAAATGAAGAAGCAACAACAATAACCTTTAATCATTTAATTGGCGATAAGCGGTTGTACAATATTAATATGCCTAGAAATAGCGACAAACTGTATTGACAACACTTATCATTTAGCTCATGCATCGACATACATACTTCGTAGTAATGACCATAGTCAATGATTTAACTAAATGCTACTGGAAAAAAATTAGAAGATTAATCTGAATTTCGGTGGAAGGTGATGAAAGTTCGGTTGGTTTTTATAATTCGCTTCACCATTAAAATACAATTATTTATTGAATGCAAACATGGATTAAGGGACAAATCAGAGCGTTAAGTGTTCCAACGATTGGTGCAAGAAATGTGAATGTCAAACGAATGATTTGAGTTTATGTCCAATAGACTTATGTTTAATGAACTTCAAGTTCGTCTCAATTCGTTGGCTTTTTGCTATGTGGTTTTTTTTTTTAAATATCTGTATATATAATTGTGTGCAGGCTCACTAGACAAGGTTGACTGCGTTTCAAAGATTGCGGACAACTGAAAATGCTTTCAAATGAATCACCTCACCAATACTTGTAGAATCATAAAATCTACTTGAATCTTGATTTTTTACATTCTTAGATACTGTATTTTTCATAGAAAAATATGTTAAATATTTAGTAGTTTTTAATTTTTTAATGAACAAATGAATATCATATTCTATCGGTTTAGTATTTCCAGTCCTTTTCATGCACACGTCAATATTCATATACAATTTTGTAGTGGATTTTTATCAACAAATCGAAGACATTTGACATAGTCCATAATTTTTTTCGTCGTAAAATGGAACGTAATAAGTCAGAGAGGTCTATGAATTTTCTGACCGATTGACTTGATGATAATGAATACTGGTTTGGAATCTGCAATGGTTTAATTGCGTTGCAGAACTGGTTCTTATTCAATAACAATCGAATTGGTAATGAAATTTCACAGTTTACCTATTTTAAATCGGGGACAAACCCACTAAACTTTTCTTCGGCATTTCGTCTATGCGATAACGAGATATGTGAGATTATAAACATATCAACAGCTGAAATGTTAACAAAATGTTTCACATTCTCTATGTAAATAATAATAAATTGAGTAAAATTTCCACCATAGATTTACGATAAGGTAAAGTCGAATGAATCGTTCGATTCTATGGAACGTGAGTCTGATATTGAATTGTTGCATCAAGTTTCGATTGCAACCAAAACCATTGGCCACAAAGACAACAAAAATGTAAATTTAACATACATACATATGCAAATTAATAGCATGAAAATCTGTTTCTCACGCTAGTGGTCAATGGTAATGCTATTTTGATTGGTGTAAACATCGATTACAGCGGATACAAGATAGTGAATACAGAAATAAAATGATCTGCGTAGACGCTGGAGCGCACGTGTTCAATTGATACGTCACAACGTCAGAAGTGAAGATGTGACGTTGGTATTAGAACGAGCTCTTGTAAACTGAATCAACCAAACTGGTTAGAGAAAATGTATGTATATATATATATGCCGAGAGCTTGAAAAATCCTATGCAACACACATTGAGGATGCACAAATTTACAATTGTTTTGCCATATGCTCAAAATTATCTCATATCCATGCATTCCAGCATTTATTTTTTTCGACAACGTTCTATGAAACACAATTTTGTACTGATTGTAATTCAGTTGATATGAGCTCTGTACAGCACAAAATCGCTTTACGTTGTAAATAGATTCGTTAATTTTTATTGAAAGGTCTGTTAAAAAATGAATAGACACAACGAATCGCAAATTGAAAACATAAAACCGTGCCCATTTTTCTGTCGATATTTATTAAATGTCTCCAAGTGGAATTAAATTCTTATTTCAGATTGTTCTTTATATTTCAAAGTCAACTGCCTTCAGTGGTGTATAGCAACGGCACAGCAACAACGAATACAATGGAAAAGTGAAAACGCGAGTTGCCGACAGCAAAAAATGCCCATTCGCATATGCATATATCAATTTATTTGTAAATTATACATGTAAAGTATCATCAGCGGGTCGACAATACATTTCAGAGTAACGCTGAGCAGTGCTCAATTCACTGCGTAAAGAAAAAGAATTAGACGATGATGTTCTACGCTACGTACGAAAATTTTTTTGCATGGGCTACGTGACTGAAACTATTCAATGAATGGCGTAACAGAGTACACTAGCGGCTTTTACCGTTTGCATTGCATGTGCTTTGTGGAAAATATGTAGTACTGGCATCGAACATTTAGAAGAAATTCCGCTTTCAAAGGAATGCTCATAAATTGTTGTACAATTTATAGTGCTACGTTGATAAAATTGTATCAGACTGAATTTTGAGATCTAGTAACATGTCGTTTTATCATAGTTTCGCGCGTCACAACAATAACATGAGCTTGTATGTTTCGAAATCAGTTTTTCTTTTTAAAAAAAAATGGTATACATTCGATATTATGTGTATTTTGGGCTATACTGTGTGACAAAAATACACAAATTTTCGTGCACCGAAATGAATTAACGAATGTGAAAGAAACGTTCTCTCAAATAAGTTGAGGAGAGCACGAATGGTGCTATCGGCATTAAAAAATTCGCATGCTTCACACATAGAAGAGAAAATTAGCTGAACAAATTGTATCAAGACGAATGAAAATACATTAACACACGTAGAAATATGCTCAAAATTCGGTGTTCACATCATTCACAGTAAAAACAACTGCTCATCGCTCGACATCAATCGTAAACAGATGAAGATATCTCCCTGTCTCTCAATCACTCTCTCTTTCTGTATATCATACAATTTCTATACACTTACCCCATGATGATATAACAGGTTCACAAAATAGAAGTACAAAAACGATGAATATTAAGTAACAACTGCACATTTTCTAAATGTTCTGTTCTTGAATTTTCGCTAGCCCCTTAATTTGCATGAAATAATTAACACCGTTTTTTGTTTGATCTTTTTTATATTATTGCAACAATTAAATCAATTCAACTTTCTATGATACAATGAATCACTACATTTATTCCTTGGTTAAAAATTTCATAAAATTTTCCAACTTTATTTTTTATTCTTGTTTAACGTTTGATAAAAAAAAAAGAAGAAGATTTAATCGATATTAAGAACTTGATTTTACTCCAACAAGAATGTTGAAGAACTTAAAAGGTAAGTAAATTAAAAGTGAAAATAAAAAAAAAAAATTTAAAAAAAACGTATATACAAAGAATCGAATTGGAGAAAGAGTTTTGAAGAAGAAATCGGCACGGATTGTCTTCGCTCTTTCTTTAAGCGCACCTTTAAGAAACGAGTGATTAAATTCAACTGATTAGCGTGTGCATGCACTCTAGATACAGACATATGGTATAGAGGCATGTGAAGGGGTCTATGCGTATAGCTCACAATTACAGAGCCATTCATTCAGTTGAACGACATCGAATCAGCATTTTTGACGTTCACTGTGTAGCAAGCACCGCATGTGTCTGCTGACTGATTTGACATAAGCTGTTCGACCGCTCGTTGGCGTTTATTTTACTACGTTTTTGACAGTTGAATGCTACAAGTGAGCATGTGAATGTTCATCCTTATGAATGTATACCGTTGAGAAGCAGATACAGAAAAATATTAAAATGGGCAATTCAATTGGATTTTTTTTTTTAAATATTCATCATTTTATATATCGAAACATTTTTGTAGACTTAATTAGATTTTTTTTTTGTGTATAGCCAATTGTGTTGATGTGGTAACAAAAATCATATTTATTATTATCCTGAAAATAAAATTTATCAATTTTTATGCTGATACTTTGCATTGGTTATTGAAAATCACCAAACTAAGCCGTGTGTTAGCTACTAAGCATCTATTTCATCTTCTATGCTAATAATGAGAGTTAAGTCATAACTTAAGATTGCCATATTATGTTGGATGTATGACTGCCACCGTACTAGTCTACGTGGCGAAAGTATTGGAACAGAGCAAACCTGATGTTAGCTTTCTGTTTTTACGTACCTTTTTCTAGTAAAATTGTTGGTCCATCTACGTTTTTTCTGTAAATTATGTGCCCTTTTCCTATTTGCCAAACCAATTTTTGGGAATTCTGTGCACCACACTAATACACTGATTTCCAAATAATTCCGATATGAGCTACCAATACAAAAATGAGAGAAATCTAAATTTCAAAATAAAGAACAAAAAAAAAAAACTGAAAATATCTTTTCGTTTTTACATATTTTATATTTCATATAATTTGTTTATAATTTTTATATTTCATTTCATACAAAATAGCTCTATTTTTCAATCAGAATTTCCGTTTATATCGTCATGAGGCAGAGCAAAACATTTTTCATCTATACTTATTTTGGAAACAGTTGATAAAACTTAATCTCTTTAAAATCACTATGGATTGTATTTTCGGTCAAGGTGTCGGTTCGTTTATTGGTATACGATTCGTTTTTCGATAAATGTCCCGTCAATGTTTCAATTTAAATAAATGGATATCCATTGGCTTTTTCCAACCGTCTAGAACAAATAAATATGGTAGAAATGAAGAGAGACAGATACATTTGCAATGCATTTTCTAAAAAAATAATAATCGGGTTTGAAGTGAATAGAATTTCATTAGAATTTGGATGCACAATGCACATAAAATCGGCGAGATTCATTGTGCTTATCGATACGACCGAAATATATTACAACTGATTACAACAACAATAACAACAATAACAACGAAAGATATTGAACGAAATATATTGATGTATATAATTAATTTGATGCGGTTGAAATGAAAATGAGACTTTCGTCGCTCAATACACAGATACGAAACAAAAATAAAGCAATCCATTAAGTGCCGTTTTAAGTATTTCGCTTTGTGGTGCTCCGTTTTGATAGATTTTTTGTCTGCAGTGTCGTTATGAACGAATCCTCTCGCATTGTTTCCCGTATTGTTACACACATCAACAAAGCATTCTGCTTCACCGTAGAAAAGAAGTGCGCAGTATCGAACAAGAACGTTCAGGTTTCGGCAACGAGGTTTTCATACAAACTTCCCATGTAGACGATCCGAAACAGGCAAAAATCGAAAAAAAAGTTAAAAAAATTTTTTTTCGATTCTCATACAGTATTTTTGGTGCCCAATCCATTGGTGTTACCGCCACATCGAAATTCGGGCTCCTTATCACTTAATTTGCATCATGTGATAAATGCGAGTGACGTCATCAATAGCTCGGGAATCAATTGAAATGAAACAAACGAAAAAATATTCGAGTAACGAAACAATGTGATACAGATTCATTCATGTGAAACAATGAGAGAGGATTCGTTCATAACGACACTGCAGACAAAAAATCTATCAAAACGGAACACCGCAAATCGAAATACTTAAAACGGCACATGCTATGTTTCATTCTTACGGATTTCTTTTCCATGTTCCATTTTAATGGATTGCTTTATTTTTGTGTCGTATCTGTGTATTGAGCGACGAAAGTCTCATGTTCATTCCAAGCTCATCATTTGATTCAATGGATTTTGGTGACTGCAACAATACTAAACAAATGATTGCAATGGTGAATGATTTAGACTCAAACATACGTTTTCCGATGGCTCAGCATCTCAGTATTTCGTATCTGCGGATATATCCGAGCATATCGACGACGAAAATCACTGTATAAGTAGCGTGCGTTGATGTGCACAGCTGCATCGACTACACACAAACTGAGAGTTTTACACACAAACAGAGAGCGCGGTGTTTGTGTGTAGTCGATGTAGCTGTGCACATCAAAGTACGCCATTTATACAGTGACTTGCGTCGTCGATATGCTCGGATATATCCGCAGATATGAATTGCTGAGATGCTGAGCCATCGGAAAACGTATGTTTGTTTAGACTACAGTTGTTCACACACACATGTACAAAAACACACGAAAATCACCTTTGTGAAAGAATAAGAATTTCATATATGATAGAACTTTAATTTGTTACTCTTTTATTTAAAATAAAACATTTGATAAATATTGACTCTGTGACCTCTCGGAGGAATTTTCTTTTTGTTCTGTTTTTCATTTATATCTTTGTTCAATTCAGTTTTATTTTACTGCAGGTAACAAAATCAATCTACAGCAGTGTTGGGTAAAGTTAACAATTTCTGTATCTAGATAAGATGAGATTCTTTTTTATTCTGAAAAAAATTATCTAGATAAGATGCTGCATCTTATCTAAAAAAGTGCGAAGATAAGATACTATCTTAAAAGTATCTAGATATTTTTTCATGACAAAAATTGTTTTCTACCGAACATTTTCATATTAAAATATTTTTTCGTTTTCGGTTCAAGTGGAATTGTTCAATAAATAAAAACGTTATAATCATCTTAAAAAGTATCTAGATATTACTAAAAGATACCGTTGAAAAAATATGTATCTAGATAAGATGAGATATTTTATTGCAAGATTAAGATAAGATGGAAGATAAAAACTTATCTGTATCTTATCTAATATCTTCATCTTTACCCAACACTGATCTACAGTGATATTTTACAATCAGGTCCATATAACCAAGATAAAATCATTATGTTTTAAACTTAAAATAGTGTGGGAAATTTTTGTGAATCGATACTTGTTCATTTCGCGACGAAACGAATTCAAATTTTATTTGTTAAATTGTTTTTTTGTGTTTTGTGATCGTTGGTTTTATATTTATAATGAAAAAATAACGCAACTCGTTTCATTTGTGCAGTGTTGCGATATTTTTCAATACAAGATCTCTTTAAGTGTTTGCGGTTTTTTTTTTAAATATAAAAAAACTTTCACACTTCAGAGAATCATAGAAAAATGTGTGGCGCTGCCCCTTTGATTATTTTTGTTTCGTTTTTTAAAATAGTCGTTTGAAAATATTTATGTTTGGTTCTCCAATTTACGTACGCAACTGTACACAATCAAAACATATTGATTTATGATAAGCAAAAATAAAAATGTATACAATTTGATATCTTAAAGCCAATGATAATGAAACAATATATGTATACGTAAAATATATCTGTAATCGATATCGATAATATTTTGTCAAACAAATGTCGACATTTTTCTCATTTCAATACAATACTTGAACTATCAAAATATTCGATATAGATTCCAGTGTACGACATTTCTAACAGAGTGCTGTCGACATTGGCATATTCAGACGAAAATCATACGAAACAATTGAATGCGATTAAAATCAATGGGCAAAATTAAACCTGTTATTAAATAAACCAGTGCGATGACATAACCATCTCAAAACGCTTCTTACGCGATAAATTAACCAACCGAATATGCCGCTAACAAATGTAATTTTCGAACACCAATTTTTGATATGATCTAAAAGAAACGATGAAAAACATGAAACATTAATTTTCAGATCATTCGGTTAAAAGTAGTTTTGGTTAGGAAAACATATAAAGTGACCAATCCATCTGTGATTGAAAACATTATAATGAGTCGCAATGATTGAAACGAACCAATCTTTCTAACTCCTGATTCAACATTATAAGTGAGAACGAAAATGCCAAATCTATTACATCAACAAAAACAACCCGTGCATTGTTCGAACAATTAGATGAGAGATTTTACCCAATAGTGTCCAAGGCGGATGTCCACCGTTGATGTATAACACGTAAGTGAAACCGTCTTTGCAATAACCTTTGATTGAGTAATAATACGGCAAAAATGTGTGCATTCGAAACCTAGATGAAGCAGATAAATAATAATATTATACGGAAATTCCATTTCATTTGTTGTCTATAACTTGATGACGTGAATTCCTGAATACCTTCTCTTTTCGTAAAATAAAATGGCAGGTTGGTTTGTGGTTAAAACATGTAAAAATATCGCCTTGACTTTTGTCTTTTCCGACGTCGTTAAGTAGTTAATTAATGCGTCTAGTAGCAGAGAACCGATGCCGTTTCGTCGATACTTTTTATGCACGCCTAACGACAAAATATATCCAACATCACATTCTTTGCCCATGGATTCAGGTAAAATGTCACGGTCCTAAAAATGGAAACAATTTATTTGTTCGGGGAAAAAAACCATTAGTAAGGTAGGTATCACAATTGCAATTGGGCTGAAAAAAACTTTACTTCTTTATTGAGGCGTGCATATGGTTTTATTTCGGCCACGATAAGTCCAATTATGGTAAGGTTGTAAACGGCAGCTAGTGCAAAGAATCTTGTGCTAGATGTTATGTCCTCGTACCATGAAAACGGGTAGTCAATGGGAAACCAATCTTGGCACAGCGTTCGCACTTCTTCCAAATCATCCGGACACAAGAAACGCAGTTGCACGTCGCTCGTTAGACAAAGTGGAACGGATGCGTGCTGTTGACCAGTTGTGCTATAGTCATTATTTGATTTGCTACTATCATTGTCTTTGGAATTTTGACGATACCTTAGCGAAAAAGAAGACATTACAATCCAAATTCAAGTGTAAATCAATCGAAAAAAACAATTAAATCAATTTGTAAAATATAAACATTGACCTCTGTTTATTGTTTATGTTGTTAATTGTGGCATATGGTCAGCATACGTTCAGTGAGCGGTGCATGTTTGATTCTGAATGAACGACAGCTCATTGACAGACGCCAATCGATACATTTTTTATGAGATTTTGTCATGTCATTCAAAACATGGATAGAACATTCGATAGACGTTCTATCCATTCACATGCATTTTTTTGGTTCTGTATTTGCATCCATATCGTAGGCAGGCTGTGTACCGCATCGCGAATGTTTGCTCTTTTCCATGCGCCACAATTAAAGTGGTGTCAATTCGTGAAAATTTTGAAAATCAAATGTGAAAATTACCATGTAAATTGTGCCATAATCTATGTACTATGGGTGAATATTCGTCAATTAATTATAATTCTCAATGACGGAACTATGCATCCATTTGTTCTAATTATTAATTTTGGTTATTAAATTATATAATCGATTTAAATTACACTTGAAGCGCAGAGATTCTTACGACATTCAAGCAAATGATCATAACATCACGAAAAATCATCATTCAGCACGAGGACACACTTTTGCTCACTCACAAAATGTCCCAATAAAACATTATTACTTCAATAAATTTCACTGCTTCTTTTATCACTCAAAATATGCGAAAAGTTTGAATTTGGATGGAATATTTTTCCTCGCGCTTTTTCTGTAATTGAAAAAATGTTTTTTTTTCTTCGATTTCAATTCTATTGGCTTTGTTTCACTCTTTAACATGAGAAAATTTTCTGAACCAATAACACATTCGCAAACCAATGCCAATTCCAAGTATTCACTGTTGCAACGGAGCGCATATTTTTTTCTCTCACAAAAACGAAAATTTAATTCGCAGCATGAATTTGTAACGCGATTATGGGAAATATGTGTTGTTTTAACGCACTAGTAAAAATAAATAAAAGCAATTTTCTCTGGTGCCAAAGAACAACAATAATTATGACAGCTGATTGGTGAGCGGTTTTGTGATGAACACACAACTGTAGTTGTGTGTACGAACACTCAGAACGGTTTCAACCGTTTCGATGGAGTATCCAAGTATTGTGCATGTGTTTGTGTACCGATTCGCAGTGACATTAACTTCAAATGCGTAAATTATTACCGAAAATTGTGTTGTTGTGTCGAAACAATAAAATTGATTTAGCAAATGTATAAAAACTCGGTTTCCATTTTAATATTGGTGAAGATAATATGAACGGTGAACGGTTTACCATTCAATGACTCAGTAAAATTCGCCTGTGATATTGTAATTGCTACAACCGATGAACGTGACCCTATCAATGCTAGCTAATACGTCAAAATAGCGCAACTAATGATTACAATACGTTCCATGAACACTTGATGAATAGTATTTGTTATTTTATTCTTCATTGACGTGCGTTAATTTCGAACATTTCAGATTATATTTTAGTTTAGAATTGGATTTTGGTTTTTAATTCTACCAAAATGTCTGCTTCTACGGTGAGTTTGAATTTGTTTGTTATGCGTTTTCTATTGTTGAAAATCAACGATTATTTTGAATGAATTTTCGAAATTGAAGGTTGAGTTTGCAGTTCAAATGTCCGGTGCAGGATGTGCCGAGAAAGTGAAGCAAAGCTTGGCTAATGCGGGTACAGTAAATATTGACATACCAACCGGGCGCGTTGTGGTGAATTCCAATTTGCCTTGGATTGAAATACAAGAGAAAATCGAAAAATCTGGACGAAGAGCGGTGCTGTCGGGCTTTGGAGGTGGAGTATTTTTGCTTTTTTTTTTATCAATATTTGTTAATATTCTAACGAAACAATATATTCAACAATAAATCCCATTACAGAGAAATCCGCTGTGGCTATTGTATCAGATACTGTCGACAAAGTGAAGGGGGTTGTTCGATTTTCATCGGTGACTGGTGACCAATACGTGAACGGTTGTGTTGTTGATGGTGTTCTGGATGGCTTGACACCTGGTTTTCATGGAATTCACATTCACGAATGTGGCGACATTTCAAACGGCTGCAAAAGCTTGGGCAATCATTATAATCCAAGGAATACGCGACATGGTAGTCCTCACAATGATATTGATGCGCGTCATGCCGGTGATTTAGGGAATATTGAAGCCGATGAAATTGGTCGGGCCAAGTTTCGATTTACAGATAAAGTGATCACTGTTGGAGACATCATTGGTAGATCGATCGTAGTAACTGAACATGCTGATGACTTTGGCCTCGGAAACGATGAAAATTCGTTGATTGATGGAAACTCTGGTAAACGATTAGCGTGCGGTATCATTGCTCGGTCGGCTGGAATTTTTCAAAATTTTAAAAAAATTTGCGCTTGTGATGGAGTTACGATATGGGACGAGCGCGACAAGCCCGTAGCTGGTGGAAATCGTAGCAATCTATAAAGCTGAGCTTATACACTTAAATATTTGAATATACTTAGATTAAGTTATTTGCCTTGTATGGCCTATTTTTGTTACTAAATGGTTGTGAAAATAAAGCAAACCAATCTGACTGGTTCACTTCTTTTTCTTGCGGATACACCGATGATCGGCACTTGGATCGAAAATTGAGCCTTGAATATGTCAAATGTCATGTTTAGAAATTACCTTTTTTATACAGTCTATATAGACCGGATATGCACATCTTGTCAATCTTGATGAAAAACTTGATCGAAAATTGCTACTCAGAAATAGATCCAATACAAGCAATGACAGAATGATTGGCGTGTCCGAAATAATATTTCTCTTCAAAACTGGGTATAAATTCGATATGCACACTAAGTACTTTATTTTATCGACTCGTATCGGGATGCAATCGTTTCAATTAACTTTAGTTGTTGTTTCGGCAGTATTATTCGCGGTGTGCTTCGAGTGTCAGGTAAGCCAATATAATATTGATACGATGCTTATACGACAATAATAAAATTAATTTCTCAAGTCGTTGAGATGTCGCACAGATGATGGACCGGTTGGAGAAGATATTAAAAAAATTGTGCGAATTTGCATGCATAAAGTCGGCAAAAATGAAACAGAGAATGATTATAGTGAGGAAGATAGTTTAGACTCAGAAGAGAAAAACGGTGAAGTATCAACGCATCGAGTGAATGATAGGCAAAATTTCAACAGATTTAACTATCAAAATAACATGCAAAACAATATGCAGAACATCCCGTATGGAAATCCCAATAATAATAACATGTATAAGCAAAATAACTTCGGCAATAACGACAATCAACGATCCTATAATAATCAATTTCAAAATCAGAATCCTGGATACAGCAACCGTTTCAATAGTAATAAAGCAAGCGCAAATAATAATCAAACAGAACAAGATCGAGCGTGCTTAGTACATTGTTTCTTCCATGAATTAAAAATGGTATGATTGATATAGTGTTCTCATATATTGTTCACCATCATATTTTCTGTTTATGAGATTGTGTTTTTTCTCCTTCAAAAGACAAACAGTGAAGATTTTCCAGAAAAACGAAAGATGCTTCAAGTTCTTACCAAAGATATACGTGAACAAGAAGTAAGAGAATTTTATGTTGACTCAATCCAAGAGTGCTTTCACATGGTTGATAATTTGGACAGTTACAATCGTCGACAAAACAAATGCGATGTAGCTTATACGATTGTAACCTGCCTAACGGAACGAGCCAAAACTAATTGTGAGGATTTTCACAATGATATGATTATATTCTGAGGGAATTTTTAGATATTAATTCATATTTGTTTTTCTTAATAACCGACCAATAACACCATTTGTTCCAAAGTCATGGTATTTGTTACTGAAAAATCCAATAAACTTACATCGGTAATGTAGACATTGTTCATCATTTTCCTATTAATGGATTCATTGACCTCATATTGTTTACGTAAAAGTCCATTTAAACGGATATTTTATATTTCAAATTTAATAGTTTAAAAAGAAACTAACTCAACCCTGGAAAGATAAAATATTTTTTACTTTAAATATATACTTAAGAACCGTTGTTTTGAGCTACAATAACCACATTGCAAGTGTTTAATTGATTCTGAACAACCTAATTAGAATTTCTTTTTTCATCAAATTCAAGGGAAATTTAGGTAAGGTGAAATATTTTCCCAATTAAATTCAAACCGATTTCGTTATTTTGCGCAAACTACTAGCTAAAAATGAACGTAATTGTAAAATCTATTTTAGTCTGCATTTGAGACATATATTCATTGTTCAATATGCCAAATTGTATGGGCCTTGGCGTAAAACAAAACAATGTCCAAATTCATAACCGTTGGTATTTCCCATTGTGGCAGACGACATTGGCGAACAACGATTTTGCTGCACTTGCACATTCAAAACTGCATTGTTGTTCGCTCACATTAACGAATTTGTGTGAATTTTTTTGGCAATCATCCTCTTTTGGGTAAAATTAGAAATGTGAAAAAAATATATCCTACAACCAACCGCCTACATTTTAAATCTTGTATTTAAGTCAAAGTCTTCAAAATAATTGATTTAATATAACTATAATTATGAACATAGCAAAAATTTCAATTTCACCGAATATATGCTAAATATTTATGCATTTATTGTTGAGTGGTAAAAAAAACAGAAAAGCATTTTTAACATATTTGATGATCTTTTCAAGACAATCTGCATATTTTTTCATCAAGTCAGAGAAAAAAAGAATTCCAATAAATCGATTCACTCTGAATATGCTTTCGCCGTCGTCAAATCTTAATGGGTCATCAAGAGGTCTTCTCTTACGTTTTATTCATATTTTCTGATCGCTTGCTGTTTTTGCCATTTTTAACATCATAGTAGGCTTGGAAAGTTTTTCAACATATATATATGGATTTTGTGAGCATGTGAATAATACTATGCATAACCACATTTTTCATATTTTCACTTGTGACATACCTAATGACATACACATCATTACAGAAAAAATTTCTTCAAAAATGCCATAAGTTGCGTAAATACATCGAAGCATTGAAAACATATCAAACACTCGAAAAATTTGAATATAAGAAATTTTGGACTGAAGAAAATGATCGTTTGTTTAAGATCAGGATTTTTTTTGTTTTTGCTACTTCATTCAACCACACGTCATTTTTTCAAATGAAACATAGGTAAACAATTGTATTGTTATTGTTGTATGTAGAACCGATCATGAAGTGTGCCAATAAATTAGCATTCAAATGTAGTATCATCAAAATGTGCTTCATAATATGTACTCTAGAATATAAGCCGCATTTACAAAGTATTCACAAAACCGTTTTTTTTTAGGCGAAAATATGAAATTCGATTTATTATAGAAATCGGGAAGTTGTTTGCATATGCATTGCACGTCTGCCTACAAGTTGTTACGGAAACCTTCAAACGATAATGCGTGAAAAGAAACCAATTATCTTTTGACGTACACTTTATTTACGATAATAGCTGTCGTTGAAGTGTGCTTGTCATCCTCATTGAGCGTCTTCACATAAAACCGTGCTAATGAATTTGAGAAATGGCGCTGAATTTTGTCGTACATAAGCAACAACAGCTCAATTAGTTTTCGCGGTTTTCGTGATGCATTTCCTATTAAACCAACAAAATGATTGAACAATCAACATTTGGTGCAATCATTTAACGTTAAACTGTATTGCATGCGATATCCTCTGTGACAAATTCCGAGTAGAAATCAAATATTTAGATTGTTTGCGGTTAATAATTGAATGGAAAAAATAAAAACGAAGAAATGCATGTAGAGAAGAAAACAAAAATCAGGTGAAAATCACAACACATGGTTGGGAACGGATTCGTCAAGATAAAACCAAGTGATAAAATAATATAAAGAAAGCTGAATATTTTTCTCCGTAGATATTCATTCAAATTTATTAATATTTCCTTGTTAATGGTAAAATCGTCATCGTCGTCATCGTCGTCATTGTCGTCATCTGAAGATAAAAAAAAAGCAGATGAAACAAAAAAGTGGAATTGCTTGAGAGCTGTGAGATATTCACATGTTATTTTGTCATAACTTTTTTTTCATCTTGAATTTTGTGCAATGTCTATGTGTTTTAAATGGCCATATCGCGCATAGTGGCGGTGATCACTTTTCGGCTTTAGCACTTCAATTCGATTTTTTTTTTTTTTTCATTCGAGAAGCGTTGCCACTTGCACACCAAAATATTCATACCATTCCTACTTGAATGTTGTATAGTAGCGCAGCGATCGACGGTTAGTGGTATGGATAGAGCACAGCCTCAGTGGTACGCAACCGAGAAGCAGTAGTATCTTCGCATCTGGTGTAATCAGTACTGTTGTGTCTTCCATGGTGAGAGCATCACATTCGTGAGCAACTCCCCATATATTTTTTATATGTTTACCGTCGTGTAATTCAAAAGACAAAAAAACAAACGTGACCGATATTTTTTTTATTTCATCGTGCAGTTTCAAATTCAAGAACCGTTCAAGAAATTCGTTTGAACACTTAATCTAACAAATATTTTTGAATGAAGCGGTAGCATCTTTTTAGTGAAAGATAGTGACATTTTTTCCATTGGATTTCCATAATTTCCTTTTTATTTTGGATTAAATAACGACAATGCATTCGGTAAGACACATTCTTTATTAAAACTAATACAAATCGATTCAAAGTATGCGGGTAACTTAATTCAAAATTCAATGCGAAAACCATGTGTATGTTCTAGAGTTTATTGCTTGATTTCATTTTTTCCTATTATGTACAAAAAAAGTTTATATGTTTTAAGAAAAACCACCATCTAAAACGCTCAAAGAAAAAACCAATGGTTTCGGAAAGGAAATTATCTCCTAAGTTTTCCTTTCTTTCATTTTCTATAAGTTTCAATTGGCAGTTTGATAGTGAGTTTACGCTATTAATTTGCTGCAAGGTAATTGTTTGCGGCATAATCACATGCGCACCACAGACAAATCAACAGGCATTTATCATATAATTTTGGATTTTGTTTTCTGATCTTCATTCGTATGTTACTATTTGATCTTCTTCTATTTCATTGACCCATTCATGTCTCACAGTAAATCAAAAAGAGACCGTAAATCATAACACTCTCTATCGTGTCCAATTAACGCTCTTCACATACATTGTGTTTGATTCCGTATTTTCTACATCTATCCCACAGCATATAAAACATTACGATTGCAACGAAAATATTGAGAAGAAAAAATATACACACATAGTCGACAGATTAATATAAAGTTATTCACTGTTATTATGGTTTGATAATTGCGTTTGCACACTTGAAGCTACTTTGTCATTTAGTGTGTGGTGAAACACGCACACATTTCTTTTCCCAATCAATGTAATTTGATGCTGGGGTATCGTGAAATGCCGTATTGGACACTTTTCTTTCTATTTTTTTTACCGCAAATCCTCTTGCTAATTATCTCGCCACGATTTGGCAGCTTGAAAAATATCCGGTGTTCCGGAAGAGACAGCTGTTAACTTTTTTTTATATCATTTGGCAAAAAGGGAAATATGTGCCGAACCATCAAGGGAAATGGCCACATTTCTACTAATTATTGCGTATAAAATGAAAACCAATTTTGTGGTTTTTTTTTGTCTTAAATGCCCACCTGAGCAAAACCTATATTTATTGAATTGAGATCGTTGTTTACGTTATTTTGCTAACATACCTTATGTGATAGAATCAAGATTGTATTTAAATTTTTGTTTATTTCGGCGTCGGGTGAACGACTATTTGGAGACGTACAAATTGGTTACGATATACTTTTAAGTTGTCAGATTTTGAGCTTGGGCGCTATCTGTCTAAAAACTGACAACATTATGTAACCATTTGGGTTCAAATTTTAAACTCCGTGTTTCTATTGTTTCCACTGGAAGACTGAAGAGCGGCGCTTTTCTTCGTCTGAATTGCTTTCAACCCGTACACGGCTGACGTGAGAATATTATCTAATGCTGTTGCATCCATTTGATTTGGCTTGACTTCACTTGGGCAGGGTGCGGTGTCAGTAAAAACAACAGATCTATTGCACTACCACACTTCGTTCACGATTCAAGCACCATAGCATTTCCATTTACTGCGCATGCCGAACTTAATTTGGCGTTCAATTCTATAAAAGTATAATTATATACTTACTGCCTTCTATTTTTCTCTCTCTCACTCTCCCTGTCTATGGATATTTTACCAGTCGGATGTATATGCAAAGCTCTGATCTCTCCGAGGCAAGTCGTTTATGTCAGTTTTCATGTTTGAAGTGTGCACGAGCGCACACCACGTCTCAGATGCAGGCAAAAATTTATGATCAATCGCAGCTCGAAAGTTTTAGATGAATCGAATTCAAACATTTCACGTTCACAGCTACTGCGGTCAATGTTGTTCACTCAATGGATCTGTGTAACAAACAATAAACATTTGTTGTCGTGTTCGAATTTTAATTTGCTCAAAATAACTAACGAAAAAAAAAAACTCAGTAATATCAGTCTTCGGGTATGGAATGCCTTCTGGTTCACCGATTAGATCCCGTTTAAGATACACTGCAAATTTTGGTGTATTTCATTGAATGTGGTAGCAAATAGATCGCTGACAGATCGTATATTGTGTATCTTTCATTTTTATGCTAAATTTTGGCGTATTTTCTCCTTTTCGCGCAAAAATGAAAACCATCCAGATTGAAGCACTTTAAATTCCAATGCAATTCATGTATTATATAATTAAGTAATTAGTACCTCATATCCATATAGCTCGATGAATGTACATTAGTCGTCTCTCAAGAGTTTATTCAATCAAATGTGTATATTATTGAGGCGACAATGGTCAATGGTCATTCAATAGTAGTAAAAGAAAAATCACGACCACTCAAATTATGTTTAATACATACGGTGTGTTGAACGCACGCAACTACGCATGATCAAATCAATTTAAATCATTAACAACAACATTAACAGCGTGATTGATTCGATGATTGACAATATAAAAGCCGTTTAGACCTAGCTATCTTGTTATCTAAACCATGTTGAAATATTCGCAACGGTAATGGTTAAATTAACGTAAGTGTGCTAAAAGTGATTAGAAACGATTGAATTTGAAATAGAGACGATGCAGATCGAGATTACCGGAACATTTTGCATTTTTCTAATTTATATTTCGAACGATAAGTAATGGGAAATTTGTATCACTATTTTGACACATATTTAAACTTTCATTCATTTTCACCTTTATCTTTCTAGTTTCATTTCTCATTTTGTCTTGTTAGTACATCATTTTAAGATTAACACAATCAAACGGCGGTTAAAAGCATCTTGATTTAATCAATTCCATGGAGATGGTATTTACGTAGAGAAAAGCACTTGAATAAATACCGCACGATCGGCATAAGCATACATCATGCAAAATATTGCTCCATGTTCAATTGAACTGAACCGAACAGGCACAATGGATGCGAATAAAGCAAAGAATTCGTTCCGGTAGATGTATTATGTACTGACTTTATACGCTATGTATACAAACTAAGCCGCACTTTCATTTGTTGAATATTGGCGAGTGTTTTGTTATAGGGCAAACGCAACAGGGAAAAGATTAGAAAAGAATTTACGAAAAATAAACAAAGATATTCAATTGTGTTTTCATAGTGTGCGAATATCTCTTTGCAGCTCACGATGAAAAAGCTGCAAATTTTCAATAGGAAGTCAATAAATGCTTTTTTCGTACATTTATTTTCATATTTTTTTGCATGTCATGTACACGATCCATCCAGATATCGTTTAGATGGATGCAAAACAATTAGAAGCTATTAGCGCATTTTCATAGCAATGAAAAAGATGACGACAAGCGCCCATAAAATGCAAATCATGGAAAAAAAAAATTGAATTTATCTTTTTTTTCTTCTGTGATTTAAGAGCATAACACTTTATCCATGTTGAACGTGGAACAGAGTCTGGAAAGGTGTAGAAATTGTCAGCTCGACACCTTCAATTCAAGTTACAACCCACCATCACATTTATTTCATTATTCATTCCGCACAATTCCGCCTTGCACTGGTTCAATCAAGCTTCAAACTCTCGACACAACAATCTCATCTATTGTGTGTTTTAGCCAAGACCATGGGCTTGATTTTCCCATGCCATGTATTCATTCAGCATCATGTGTGTATGATGGATCTGTAGTTGTGCATAATTTGCGAACAATGAAACTTACAATTAAAATTATGCTAGAATCGTTATGAATCGTGTGTAACTTAAGTTCATAACTAAGTTATGAATGATTTTCCTTTCCGTTTCATGCTTATGGTAGTCTATATTATTTATTTAATTTCAATGAACACACAGCCCAATGCTTCATTTTCTTATTGCCGTTTTTTTTCTTTATTTCGTTTGCACTAACTGATGGAAATATTTTCCGTTTAGAAATGAATGAAAAAAAAAAAGAAATATACATGTACACAATGCTACTTTAGAGTGCAATAAAAATTGGGAATAAATAGAAAAACACATCTTGGCTGTGTTACTTTTATTGTGTAATCTACCCAAGCACCACCGGTAACTAAAGAAGACTGTGCCAATGTGTTATGTTGCAAATTGTGGTAGAAAATACAAAAAGTGCGTTTGCGTTGTTTCTTTTTCTTTTAGCATATTCAAATTAAATGTATGATGACGCAGCGACTATCAGTAAAATGAACAACTTTTCATGAGCTGTTCTGTGAAATCGCTTTTCGACTAAAAAGTACATTAAACAGTCTAATTTAAACTTAATTCCACGCATACGCTTGCTTTACAAACAACTAAGTTTCTATGAGAATCCATTAATTTATGAAACTGGTGCAAGAAAATTACAAATTTTCGTTCCGATAAAAGAAAATGAAATAGAAAAAAAAAAATAATGACCACTTTGCTACAACACGTAGTTTCGTTTATGCGTGAACAATGTGAGCATTCAAATTCGGGAAATGCAATCAAATCACTCAGTCAGAGTTGTGTGATGACGAAAGCATATTACAACGCGTCCTCGATTAGGTATCTATGCGAAACGTATGTTTTTTGTGCATATGAGAGCAGATCATATGAAACAAAGTGGTAACACATTTGTGATTTCATCCTGTTTTGTTTCATTGGGAAATACCTTTGCTTCACTCCCGCGCTTCATATTCTGATGATTTTTCTTTAATATGTTACATAGTCAAAGATGATGGTTTAAGAGATTGCATGGCAGTCAATTTGCCGAAAAAAATGTCTAATTGATTTGGCTTAAAGAACGGCATTGCACGTGAAAATGGAACAGTATCTGGTCTTTTACCGCACAATCATTTCAAATTCATCTCAAACTGTGTTTTCAAATATACGTACCACACGAAGAAGATATTCAATCATAAATGGTGATCGATTTTTGATAGTCATATTCGAATATAATATCCACTAGTGAGATAGAGAGAGAGAGCATACTTGTTACCTTGTCAAATTGCAGACAGATCTGAAATAGGCAGTCATGTACTCGTGGATGAACGTCAATATTTGATTTTGGTAACGCAAACCATGTTTAGGTTACCGTAATATAGACAAACAAAGAAAGCGTCAAATCATGGTCCCAGTTTCATAATTGCAAGATGTGCAACTTTTGC